GATGGATGGATGAATGAATGGATAAATGGATGGATGGATGGATGAATGGCTGGATGGATGGATGAATGGCTGGATGGATGGACAAATGGATGGATGAAGGGCTGGATGGATGGATGGATGGATGGATGGATGGATGGATGGATGGATGGATGGATGGATGGATGGATGGATGGATGGGTGGATGGATGGATTGATGAATGGATGTATGGATGGATGGATTGATGAATGGATGTATGGATGGATGGATGGATGGAAGAATGGCGGGATGGATGGACAGATGGATGGATGGATGGATGGATGGATGGATGGATGGATGGATGGATGGATGGATGGATTGATGAATGGATGTATGGATGGATGGATGGATGGAAGAATGGCGGGATGGATGGACAAATGGATGGATGAAGGGCTGGATGGATTGATGGATGGATGGATTGATGAATGGATGGATTGATGGATGGATGGATTGATGATTGGATGGATTGATGGATGGATTGATGGATGGAAGAATGGCTGGATGGATGGATAAAGGGATGGATGAATGGCTGGATGAATGGATTGATTGATGGATGAATGACTGGATGGATGGATGAATGGATGGATGGATAGATAGATTAATGGGTGATGGATGGATTGATGAATAGATGGATGGATGGTTTGATGGATAGATGGATGGATGAATTGCTGGAATGATGAATGGGTGGATGGCTGGATGGATGAATGGATGGATGGATGGATGGATGGATGGATGGATGGATGGATGGATGGATGGATGGATGGATGAATGGATGGACACAATTTATTGATTATCATTTAGCGATCACCTTGTCCGTGGATCCATCCCTGAGATTTTGGACCAGTCCATTCAGACGCTGTATTTCTCCATCTTTGATTTTGATGACCCTCATTAGCTCCATCTCATGTTGCCGTAGCAATGTCTCCCTGGTAACCGCCAGCTCTTTCTGCTTCTCTTCATGTAGTTTGGTCCTTAGCTCCGTCAGGGTGACTGTAGCACGGTTATGTTCTGCCTTCAGCTCCTGACTCTTCTCCCTCTCCAAACGACTCACCTGGTGGCACCGGATATAACAATACTATCACACATATAGTAGCCTACTACCAAGGTTACTGTAGGCATTGTAGTAGCACCACTGCAAGTACTCATACAAAAACTGCAGAAGTACTAATTGGGGAATAAAACAACTTCAGTGAAACTACAGAGCATTTTACAGTATTTGTTTTAAAGTTAAAGTAAATTGAATGCCGTAATTAAGTTACTATAATAAATCTACCAGTAGTCCTAAAATTATCACTGAAAGGAAATAAACACCTATGATGTTACTTTAGTAAGTGCTGTACTGCTAAAGTTAGTAAAGTAAATGCTGAAATCCTACAGGACCCATTAAGTGCAGGAACATCAATAAAGCTACTAAAGCGACATAGTGGAACTATAGCAGGTACAGCTGTTGTTTTAGTGCCTCTGAAAGAACAACAGTACCAATAGAAATACTGCAAATGGTTTGAGAATCACTTTGATGGAGCTGCGGTATATAAGGAAAGCACTGGAGTCGCTGTTGAACACTTGTATCTGTAGTTCTTACCTTGTTCTTTTCCTGTTGGAGTTCGATCTGAATCTCTGTCAGTTTGGCTCTCAGTTCCTCATTGGCTGCTTGAAGTGTTGCCATAGCGTCTTGTCGGTCTCCTTTTCCTCGCCCTCCTATTCCCCGTTTTGACATAACGAACACCTTCTGGCTCAGCACCCTCCTCCAGCTAAATATCAAACTGAACTCTGACTACATCTGCACCTGTGCACACACAAACCCAGGGACTTTAGCTTCAGAGGTTGTGTAAATTGTGTGTCTGTGTTGCTCATTTCTATAATATTTTGTTAGTGTAGAAGGTTTTGTTTGTTTGTGATACTGTGAGGAAATTATATGTGATTTTCTAAAACTTAAAAAAGCAATTACACCCTAGGTGTATTTATATTTACACTTGATCAAATGAAAGATACATTTGATCTCCTTGGTATTTGGTAGGGTTATCCTCTCGCATATAGTGCCTTGCAAAAGTATTCGGCCACCTTGAACTTTTTGGCCTGTTGCCACATTTCAGGCTTCAAACATAAAGCTATAAAGTGTAATTCTTTGTAAAGAATCAACAAGTAGGACACAATTATGAAGTGGAACAAAATTTGTTGGGTATTTTAAACTTTCGCAATGCACTGTATGTACAAGACACCTGTGACACGATTCATGAACATCTGCACCGCCTCTAGGAAGACCCAAGAGTTGTTAAAGGAGGTCAGGGACAAAGTTGTAGACCTGGAAAAGATCACTGTCAAGAACCGAGGGAAAAATATGATTGCCGATGCAATGTTTTAAAAAGCAAAGTAGTGAATCTCTTATATTATCTTCTCTAATCTTATTCTTCAGCTCATCCAAAATCTCACCCTGTGTACTAATAGTGAATCTTTAAAGCCGAGGGATCAGGTCAGCATTGCATGCAATTAGCTTTTCAATTATCTAATTAGAGCAGGAACCACAGTCACCATGAAAAACATTATTACATCTACACCTACAGGCCTGCATTTGATATTAGCAGTTGGACAGCTCAGAGAAACCTTAACAAATTTGCACAGATGAGAAAAAGTTCTTGATCATCAAATTTAGCTCCAAGGTAAGGAGGTATATCAACCATTAGACACCTTTACTGTCAGTTGTGGAGTTGGAAACAAGATTTAAAGCAGTTTCTTAAATCAGGCTGCAGGAAGATTTCAACACATGGATATAACTATGCACATAGCTGTTTGCCTTAAAGTCCTGGACACAAACCCTGACTCAGAACACTGAAGATATGTTATGGATGGCTGTTTTATCAGGGCAATAACCCAAAACAAAGGAGTACAAAAAAGTAGATTTAAGGTCTTCGAGAGGCCTAGCAAAGTCACCAAGAAAAACACTTCAAAATCTTTAGAATTCCGTAAAGAGGGTAGAGCTGAGCTGTCTGAAATTCTGGTGAGCAACTAGAAGAAAATCCTGGCCTTATTGCTTTGGCACTAATGGTTAAGCCATATTTGCTTGTGGATAAAATTATTATTTCATGAAGCACAAGTGACTCCAGAAACATCAGTATTATAACCAGCATTTCATTTTATTCTCTTTGAGTATCTTTTCTAATAGACTATTTCTTCCAATAAAGCAAAATGTTTGTTTCTAAAATCAGCTGGATGCGAATAATTTTTCTGTTTATCATGTGGAGCAGCTTAGTTTAGGAATATTAGTGAGATCTTAGCTGTCTGTCAAGAACTGTCAATAGTATTTATGTAGAAAGTGGAAAAAATTCTGATCAGCATGTGTTGTATATATTTGTGGTAGCATATTTGTGTATAAAGTCAGCGACAATATCAGATTGACTGTAGTAAAGGTATAGATGTGTAGAGTCAATAATCTTTCCGATAACCGTGTTTCTGATCTACTTATTTAATATCACTGTATAGGTTTGATTATATTCTCAGATCAATCCCTTATACATCAGCTGTATCCATTTAGGTTTGCTGTAGTACTGTGTGTGGTGTTCATCATATTGCAACTATATCTCTGTAGGGTTTCTATGCTAAGCTGTGCAACATTTCATTGGTACACTGCAGAGACTTCCTGATCCATCTGTGTGATGAAGGGCAGGTGATGCAGTAACAGGCTGACTGGCTGATTGTTTCTATGGGAACAGGATCAGCTGTCAGCATCAGCAGCAGAAAGATGCAGAACTTACCGTCCAGCAAGATGCATCGGATGCCACATCGTTGTTTTTGCTGATCAGCCTCCTGTGCAGCATGCTATCAGCAGCTAGCTCCACTGCAGCTTTCAGTCTGTGTGTGTGTGTCAGAGTGTGTGTGCTGCATCAGCCTCTTTCCAGTTGCCTCCCTGCTAGCATGTAGATGCTGGGTCTGTGGCTGATGGGGTGGACTCCGTCACACTGGGTTCATCTGTCACTCCTCTGTTAGCATCTCTGCAGCTTTTGCTTACATCATCTCTTCCTCTTCCTCCTATTCCTCTCCTCCCAGCACCCCTCAGTGTGATTCATCTCAGCATTCTGAGCTTTGTCTCCTCCTGCTGGACAAAACTTGTCATCACAACCAACAGACTAGGACTATTAACATTAATCAACTATCATTAATCTTATTTTTGAGGTCCTGTTGGCTGTTGATACTAAGAGGGCAGTTTCTATGGCAAAAAAGAAAGGATGCTGACATTAGACTTACATAACTGGCAGCAAATGAATGAGCGACTGGGATGAGAGCTGTCAGTGAGCTGCAATATTTAATGAATAATTAAGGTTTAGATTCCATGCAGATCATCAATGAGACTGAAGAATCTGGTGGACCAGATTTTAGGTTCAGGTAAAAACCACAGAACTGATAGAGCTGTTGGTTGTCATGAGCTGAATGAAAACCATAACCTTTCTGCTAAAATATTGCAGAGTTAGAGCAGACAGAGATTAATAAATCTGTTTGAAAAAAACTTATTGGTTCCACCAACTCTGCTACTGCAATGCCAGCTTTACTTCCATTAGAGGGAAACAGTTTGCTGACTGCCTTTCAGGCCTCGGGGCACAGTTACAGCCTGTCTTAAAGATTCATGAGGCCAGAAACAGACATTGACACATGTATGGGTTAAAGAATTAGAGCTTATTTATGAAAAAAAGCTGAAATTGTTTTTTATATATTAGTAAGGTTTGCTTTTACCCTAGGAAAGGTTAAAAATATCATATAGTGTTGTGAAAAAGTTGTTTCCAGCTTAAATATTCTTCGTTTTTTTTGTTATTCAAATAAATTCATTTTCAGACTCGCTTTAATGTAGATGAAGATAAACTGAGTAGTTATAAACGAATATTCATATGCAGTGTTTTTATATCTAAAATCAGATTAAACACTACTCTAAAAGGAGCATAAACCATAAAGGTAAAAAATAAAATAAAAAATTACCTCAACTGAACAGAAAATTAAATAAAATGAAATAAAATTGAAGGAGCCCTAAATTTAGAATCACTTTCCAAATGCTTTGGTAGATAATTACTTTATTTTTATTAATAAGACGGATTCATAGCTGTCAAATATCCCAAAATTTTGCCAGGAAACTACTGTATTTTAACCCTCTTTCCTACTGTCCCCCAGTATTAGCAGTCTCCAGTAATATTATTTTATTATAGCTACAATAAAAAAAAAAAAAAACATGAATCTGCCTCCTAAAACTGACCACCTAATTGTAGTTTGGAATTAGTTGATAAGTGGTTATCTTAGATTTCTTGTGCACCTGTCTTAAAATATAACAGATACTGTAGCTTGACTGGGCTAGACCGACGGCTCGCAGCGGCTGTCATAAAATTCCCCTTATTTTCGAATCTAGAAATGAGCAGATAGGCTCATTTTTTTATTTCACAGAAACCTGGCTTGCCCTCATGGCTGTGGTCATAAAATCCTTTCAGCGTATATTGCTGAAAGACATCACAGCTCTCCTTCTCTTCTCTTTCTACGTAAAGTTTAAACTTCCACAGACCCATTTGTGAAACTCCTGAAGTTGTCAAATTTCCCTACTGTCACTGGTCTGAGGTTTCTATGCTGGTAAGTTCCAACCACCTGGAGCTAAAAGATGTGGACTCACCTTATATTTATTTCCATTTTAAACACATATATCATACTAAGAGCACAACTGATCTATAACATCATATCACAGATTTCATAGAAGTCAAAACAACCTAAGACCAAAGCAACAGTTTCCAACTGAACATCAGGTGTGTGCATTATAACCAGTTTAAAATAAGTCTGTTAGGGATCATGAGGACAGGTAGAGATCACCAGATTAACTCAGGTAGTTACTGGATCTTAGTTTAATACAGAACATCAGGTTACAATTAAAAAACAGACACAAGAGCAATAACAGCATATAGCACAGACGGCACAATGACATATCACATCTGCATGAAAAAATCCATTGAAAACAGAATAACAGATCGTCCAATAATCTCAGCACACCGACAGCTGACAGAATCTAACATCACATCAAGAGGGTTTAGTGAATAAAATAAAATAGTTAATAACAACAGTTGTACTTACATAAACATACCAGACTCCAGAATGCGTTCATAACACAAACCTAATTCAGCTGTGTAAATTAGTGGGGCTTTGGCTTATCATCTTCAGAAGATGATTACAGCAGAGAGTTGCTCCTTTGTGTTCATCAAAATGAGAAAATTCAGCACGCACTCGACTGATGTTTCATGCACAACTTGAGATGAAGAAAATAAATGTAGCGTGAAGATTAGCAGATAGGCAAACCTTTTCTCACAAATGTATCACACTTTAAAATCCTAAAATAACCTAAACGCAATGAAATATTATTCATTTCAGTTGTTTTATGTAAAGGAGCATCAAAAACAGTGTTTTTTTGTTTTGTTTTTTATGGATGTAGCTGCCATTGTTAAAACCCTGAACAATGAAACAGATTCACATTTGACCACATAGAATAACATAAAACACCTCAGTAAATGATGGAAACCACCTTAATCGGATGGAAACTGTAATGTTTCTGTGTTTGACAAATGTAGCTGAAAATACCCATGAGTCTTTGCGCTGGGGAGGATAAAAGGGATTTAATTATCCTATCCCTTTTATTCTTATTGAAGGAAAATCTTGGATCAGCAAAAAAATTCCTGACAAGTTAAGTGTGGTTTCTTCCAAGGTGGAGACAATCATGCATCTCCATGTATAGCTCAGTAAAGGTGGGCATGATTGTGAAATGATGGCAGGAGGACATCACCAATGGAAGAATGTGGAGGGAGCTTTTTCTTTACCCTGCTGGTATATGATGATGATGATGACACGGGCTAATAGCTATTTTAGGCTAATAGATACTCAGGGAATAATTTAGGAGATGGTTTCAGCATTAGAGAGGGAAAGTGTGAGTAGGCAGGTTTTGCTTTTGCCAGTTTAAGTTCTCTATGTGTTGCATATTTTGCAACCAGAGGCAGCAAACTGAGGGGTCAGGGTATGTCACAGTCAGCCCTAATCTGTGCCATGTTTCATGTGAAATGGCATCATGGGGTGCTGCTCAGATATATTGAAAAAAGCCTCTAAAGAGTGGATCTCATTTGCAACGAGAAGCCAATTTCCAAATGTTATCAGTGCTCTGGCTGCACTCATGCTACTATAAGGGAAGCATCTGTAGTTGAAAATGCTTCTCTGAACAGAAAGCCTTTTCGCTTAATATATGTGCAACATATCAATGATGTGCATACATGCCTTACAGGCAGTCTCTAAACTCTAATGGCAATTATAGTTATTTTGTGTTTCATTAGTGGTGGTTCCAAGAGCAATGGAAGGCTTTTTTTCTGTACATCTTCAAATTCTGTTGAAGATTTATTGTTTTTCACATTGCGAATGAGGTTATATTCTTCCTAATAGATATATGGGCATATTCAGGTCATGACAGGGATTGGAAATACATTATCTTTAAGCTATAACTGAAATCAAGGCAAGAAAACCTTAGCTGGGATGTTATTTCAGCTCTAATGATGTCCTGGTTTAATATTGTTCCAGTTAATGTGATCGAAACAGCACAAAACACAATAAAGGATGAAAATAATAAAGAAATAATCCCTTTCTATCTTTCAGCATATAAGCAATTTTTTCCATGTAAGGTTTGGGTTTATAATGTAGCCCAGTTAAGCCCAGTTTAACCAAGCGTAGTTCTGATTAGCTGATCCATATATAGCACAATGCTGGTCATTTTCCTCTTAAGAAAATACAAATGTAAAACACAAAAAGCTAGATTCCAGTAAAGTTCAGAATAAAAAAAATGCAGTAGTAATAAAAGGACTCACTGGGATTTTAAATCAGGTCTACAGCCACATAAAAAGTTCTGTATGGGTTCTTTAAGATTTAGTCCACTGATCTAATCTTTCTAAGTCTTGCACGGTTCTCTTTGTTTCGCTTTTTTAAGGATTTAATGTAGTCATTAAACAGAGCTTCCTTTTCCTTCTTCCTGCTGAGGGCATTGAAGCGTTGGTCAAACTGGTAATAAACACAGAATTCCTTAAAAGTTGTCCTGAGGAAAAAACAGAGATGGTCATGAATTGCAGGTTTTCTTGGCTGCAAAACCAGTTAGGATTTCATTGAAGGAAACATTCTGGGTCATAACTGATTGTATTTTCTACACAGTAATCTTCTAAGGCAGAAAACTACAGTGAATGGGGAAATAAAAGCAGCCATATATTTGAAGAATCCTTCATAACATTGAAGGATGAAGGACAGATACCTGCTGGGGATCTTTGCCTCCTGCAGAAGCTGCTTGAACTCTTCTCTCACTTTTTGCTTTTTACTCCTTTTCTCTTTGTACTCCTCCTTCACTCTGCTCTTCACAAACTGACCAAACACCTGCATACAATGAAAATATCAGATTGGTTAGTAACCTAATGACATCATCATCCCAGGCATATCATGACTTTTAAAAACCTCAAAGTGAAACCTGTTTTCTCTGATCTAAGGAGAGCAGCAGGTATCGAGGATCAAACACCATCTTGTGAAGCTCCTTTTCCCACCTGGAGAACGCAGACACCTGCAAAAATGAAACAGATTATGCAGCCAGGACCACAGCCCCTCCTCTTTGAGTCAAGAAACAAAAAAATTAAATCAGCAGCGAGATGTTTCCTGCACAACAATCGCATAGTATGGAAGTATGGAAAGAAGGAATGCTGTTATAAAAGCTAACTACTGATGTTTCTGGAGACTTCTCTTGCAGCCCATAGTCTAAAAGTCTGCTCCATCTTTTACTTTGAAAACATGAAACAAGTCAGGAAGGCAAACTTTCATCCATGATTTATCTGCAGGGTTCGAAAGATAAGATGGTGTTAAAGCATGAATCTATTACGAGGGCTTTGCCTTTCCCTTCGCTCACGCTTGAATCACTGTCTAGAAAACTGGAATTGAGTCAAATTGGAACCAGACCCAGGCTTAAGTTCTAATTTAATCTCAGCTGTGTGCTAATCTAGGAGGCTGTTA